ACTGCGGTCAAGCAGACACTGGGTTTTTGCCACAGACCCTAGAAGAACAGCATCTAGACAGAACACTCCTGCACATTCCCAGAGAAGTGAAATTGAAATGAACAAGCCTTTGGCCTATTGCATAGGAAGAGTGGGACTAAAAAAACCAGCTTAAAGCCTCTTTATTTTCTGCTCCTTTGAGAATTCCCAGCTACATGCAGAGCCAGAAATTGAAGAGGCTTCAGAAGAGGGAGAGTAGGCACAAAGCTCTTTAACATGCTGCACATGGCACAAGTAATCAGAAAGGTGACTGTTAAACTGCCCTTCTGGAGCCCTAACAGAATCAACACAAGGCCTAACTTTTTTTATTTCCAGTATGTGTTAAGACATTAGAATGTTTTTTATTTCCAGTATGTGTTAAGACAAAAGAATATTTTTCAGTATGACGAGAACTATTTGATGAGTTTGAATACAAACATAATTATGGATCAGATTCGGATAGAATGTGGTCACAGCCAAAATTAGTGTAAGTAGTTCCTACAGCATTAGAACAAATGCTGTTCTGATTCGCGACACCTTTCTATATTAAAAGGTTTTTTGAGGCCTCACTTGGGAAGATTTATTTTTAGAAGTAGTCTACAGCTGTCCTCTGAGTCCATTATTACCAAAATAGAGCAAAAAAATACTTAAGAGTATATGCACCTTCAATAAATACAAGACAAAGTCACAATTAAAACATGAAACTTAAGGGACAGATGTGCAAACTTTCAGAGCCTAGGGAGAGGCAGGGGCATATAGAAAACAAAATTACAATCAAGCAGACTTACTCTTTTCCACACTACTGTAACTGAAGCTGGAAGAGCGAGGAGTAACAGGATTTGACCTGTTACTTCCTTGACATCAAGAGAATTATTCTGTTATAATTAGGCTTAGTTTTTTTCTGAAGTAGATGACACTAGTAACTTTAATAACACTCAAAAAAATGAAGCTACGTACCTGAACACCTTTCAGTTGAATGTAGTCAAATATAAACCATGCCAAGCAGTGACACATGAAAAATACCATTATATCCCACCTAAACACATGATGAGCTGCCCATCCAATAACTAGACTGGCAACAAAGCACTCTGAGATTGGCTCACAAATTATTGTGGCAGGCAACATATTAATTCGCAGTTTGGCCCACCTAGAAAAAGACAAACAAATCAGTTCTGACTGTGCATTATTCTTTACGTCCTCCTCCCGCACCTTATCAAATGATGAGCCATCATGGTCTTTTGTGACAATGTTGGTTTAATCTCATTTGATTTACACCTCCAAAATTGCCAAGTTCTCCCTTTCAAAGATAGCACACATAGCATTTAAAAGGTACTAATCAGGTTGGTTTTCTTTGTTTAAACACTTATATCAGCAGTGCTTCTGTGGAAAGTCAGTGCCTCTCTCCCAACACTAACAATAAGTATGAATCAAGATGTGCATTGGAACTTCAGCATTCTGGACTTTAGATCAAATTAGTTTGGAAAATGTTTTCCCTCTCATGACAGCGGTGGGGGGGAGAAGAATCAAGGCTTAAAATTTTACCTGATCATTCTGGATTGAAACTGAGAAATGGAATATGAACCAGAGTTTTGCATTGCAACTTGTGTTGCCATCGCAAATTTCCAGCCCCTGAAAAAAATGAATGTATTATTATAAAACCATGCAAGTAAGAGATGCAAAAGAGAATCACAGAACAAACACGCATGAATTATTAGGCTTGAAAAGTTTCTTTGCTATATGTACCATATTATTGCAATGGGTATAAGCAAAAAAATTAAGTGTATTTTGTCAAGTCTCTTCATTGGAAGAGAGCAAATACCACTTTAATAATTAAAACAAGTCCTCAGAAGCTTTTCTCTAAAGAAATTGACAATGAAATGGCTTAATTATTTCTAAAAGATTATATTTACAGGGCAAAGCACGTGTCATAAGCATGCCTGGTGTATATACACCTGACCTGAACACCTATACTTATAGTATGTACCATGTGTTTAAGAGATTTCAACTGCACTTAAGGCAATAACCATACTTCAGGGTCATCTTACCGGTCAGCTATAGCTTTGGCCATAAAGTAATCTTCGGCAATATATTGTGCAAAAGCTATCAGTCCTCCAGCTTGGTCCAAGACATCCTTCCTCATCAAGCATGACATTCCTGTTACACACTTAAAGCCAGTTAAGTTGGCTGAAATATATGACCTTGGATGTGACGTTCCAAAATAAACCTGCCAAAACAACATAAGGCTTTTAAAACACTACTTGTATTTATGTAAGTACTACTCACTGACAACTTTTTCTCCAAAAGTGTTTGGAGGTCAAAAAGTGCTAGACACGGTGCATTTGGAAGGATCATTACCACCAAACTAGAAATCTAGTCTGCCACCAAATCTGAGAAATCTGGTAGTGATATTGGCTGTGTTTTTACAAATCTGCAAGTGGGTTTTAAATCCACATATTAAACTACCATATTCCATTTGGTATTTAATTTCTAATTTATTGAGGTTGTTCTCAGGGAATACATATATTAAAAATCCACTAAGTAAATTACTAGTCACTAGGGTTAATATATTATTTCATGACAGCTGATAGACATCATAGACATTTATAAGAGGAGACATCCTTCCTCTTATAAAGATTAACTGCATTACTGCATACATGTTCTTAGAAACATACTACACAGTTGTACCACAGCAGGGGAATTTTGTTTACTTAATGTACTTGCAAACAGAAATAGCAAAGAAAAAATTCAGGTTGTGAGCAAGTCTTTTTACAAGATTCAGTAACTTAAAACTAGGAGTGTTCTCTAAGGAGACAGTGGGAATGAGCGCTAGCACCTCTCACTACTATTCTTCCTATAGATGGGCTTCACACTGGTCTTACTAATACAGTAACTCATTCAAGAAAAAGCATGCTCATCTTGCAATATACTGGATCTGGAAGCAAAAAGCTCTTCCAGGAATTGTAACTCTTGCTACTTTAGCGTGTAGCAGTACTAAGTGCTATAGCTCTTTGCTCTTCTCTTGTAAAAGGAAATTCAGGCTTTGTGTCACAAAAAATCCCACAAGAGCTTGCCCTCTCTCCATGCAGTGAAGGAGTACTGAATTTCACTGCACTTCCATCTCTCACACTTCTGCCTTTGATACACATTAGTTAGCCTTGGGGCCAAAATGCCTTATACACACCAGCCTAGATATTAAGTTACATGCCTTGAGACACAAGGAACAAACGGGAGAACTCAACTTCTTCATTCTACAAAAGAGAACTTACTGAGAAAGAAGAGAGGGGAGAACAGGACAGAATGAGTGCTACAAAGATGGTGGATAGGAATCAACTGTTGACTTTCTCTTCCAAAACAAGTATTTGGAAACATAAAATAGTACTATAAAAGAACAAGGGTCAGAGTAAACAAGGTGGCGGTTCCTGTAACAGACAGTAGATCTACGGAACTTCCTGGTAAAGACAGTTACAGATGTTCAAAATCTATATGGACTCAAAGAAAGAATGGGAAAGTTCTTGTAAGAAATCTGTTCTTACTAAAATACTAACAGACTGGGGATTAGTAAATACACAAGTCTACTTCCTTCTCAGGAAGTCTCTCAGCTGAAAACTCCATAAAGTTGAGACAGCATTACAGGAAAAGAGGATATAAACCTTGCTTGTGTTCTACTCTCCTCAAAGGCTCTGCTTATATCCCCTGATGGAAATAAGATACTGTGCAAGCTGGACTTTGCTCTGACTTGTCATTGCCATTTCTGTGTTCCTTCTCAGACATGAAATAGAATTAATGGCCCTTTCTGACTAAGCACTAGAAAGTTCTTCAGTTTTAATAGATTTTTAAATGAAATCCATCATTTTAATCCTTTAAACTTTATTGTTTGTATTGTAAACTTAAATATTGAATCCATGTTCAGAACACCACATAAAATTTTGGAGCATTTAAAAGTTATCCTAGATAGTTTGAAGTGTGGCTGAAGCTGAAAATAAACATTTCTTCATTTGAAAGGTGCAAGAGGCGCTACAAAACTTTCACAGCAAGGTCTTGCAAAAAAAAAAAAAAAAAAAAAGACGACACTGCACTCACCTGTTCAAGGGTAGCAGCGAAACCCTGTCTGTCTGCAACATAGGGAAGCCCATGGACCAAGCCTACTTTTTCAGTCATTTGATTGGCCATATCTGTTAGTGTGTCTGGCGTTACTAAGTGACAAATAAAAAAAAGATAGTTCATTAAGCAATTCTGTCATTAGCAGGCTACTGTATAAAGACACTAAATCTCATTCTTGTACAAATATCAAGAGCACATATACTTTGAGGCACAGTATTTTGGAGCAGTAAAATTTCAGAAGAATAGTAATAGTGATTAACATCATTATGATGAACCACAAATGAAAGGGAAACTGTTTGAACAGTATTTTTTTAAATGGAATTTTCACCTTTAATTAGAGATTAAACCATTTTATACCATGAAAACATTTTTTCCAGATTTCTAACTTTTATTTCTACTTGTATTCTCAGTCGAAATAATCTCTAACAACTGCTTGCCTACAGGAAGTAGAAGGAATATAACAGTCAGCACATTACAGCACACACCTACCTCGGATTCCACTATCACAAATCCATATGAGATCATATTTGGCAACTTCATAGCCAGGCATTAAGTTGTTAATCTTGGGGTTGATGCCAACCTTCTTGCCACCTAAAAAATACAACCATCATTCAGAAATAATGTGTGGCGCTTTTTTTAGAATTCAGACTCAATACCCAAAATATTTAGATATATTAACTGAAGAACAGTAAATGCTTACCCATCAATTCTTAATCATCCCATCAAAAGTCCACTTTTAAGAAAAGGGTTTAAATTTTAAGTATTCTTTCACTTCTGTATTTTAGCTCTTACTACAATTATGCAGATAATTAAAAAGGAAAAAATATTCAAATACTTCCTCAAAATAGCAGGGTAACAAGGTTAATGTAATTAAAGGGCAGTAGAACTACAAAGTTTATTACTACATTCTGTAAAGTAGAAGTTCTTGACCTCTTAAGACTACTGGTTATGACCATGATGCTCTACAGTAATTTTAGCAGAAAAATGACAAAGAAGCAGAATAAAGTGAGACACACTCTTTTGCTCCTAACTGACAGAATGGTTCAGTTAGTTTCATGTCAGAAAAAAAAATATTACATTCTACTACATCATTCTAATATCACCTCCCTCCTCTAATTCAAATGTAAAGTGAAGAGAACCCTACAGTCTAAGCTGATGAAAAAGGATTGTTGCAAGATCTCAAGCTCAAATACAGCCACAACTCCAAGTCACCTCCTTCAAAGACAGGATTTAAACTGCTGTACTTCCGATTTAAAACGAAGAACTTGTAGGGGATGCATAACTCATTCTTCCTACAGCTTTTTTGGACTGATGTCACAGAAAGTGACTACAAACTTACTTCACCCCAGATGATTAAGCCACAGAACCAGCATGGACTGAACAAGATGACTATTTATTTTAGAATATTGTATATGGAGTTGAAGATCTAAAAACATTTTGCAAGTACAAGTCCCACCTTCCAGTTGCACTGCTTACCTATGAACAGTCTAGCATCAACATTCGGGTATTTACCAAGGAGCTTTTTGCACACATCAATAGCTGGATCATCATGATCTTGTACACAGAGTAGTACTTCATACTAGTAAAAACAAAAATGTGTACACACATATTTACACACATCAATATTGTCTAGGGAATAAAGCTTAACAGTGTAACAAACTGAAAAAATAGAGAGTACTTATAGAACTAAAAATAAAACTAAGGGGGTTGTTTTACAGCTAAATAAGACTTTTTAATATTTTTTTCACAACCAAGTATTGTGAAAAAAGAACCTAGCCTGTATCCCAATAAACTCTTGTACTGAGGAACACTAGTTTCCCTGTTATCGGGAGGGTTTGTATTAGGCATGAAGCAAGACATCCTAGTACACAAAGTACATTTATTTCCACTTCTGTTTTTGTTCACATATGAATCTTAAATCTGATCTTATATTCAATGAAATTACAGCACACAAAATATTAAAGGAACAGTGTTATGATACACTTGAATGTGTAGTTCAGAGGTACACAGTCCTTTCCTCTACTTTGTAGATGCATATGCAGAACAGAGTTGGAAGACAACCCATAGAGACCCAGCATACGTACGTTTGATTGTATAATAAAGCTAAGCTCAGGAACATGTATATGCATATTTTCCTCATTAATAGAATAATGGTTACAAATCAACAAGAGGTAAGGGAAAACTGTAGCTCTTTCAGCAATCAAGCTACATGCTTGTTACACATGAGCTACAGACAGTGGGTGAGGAAACAGCATTTTAAGACTCACTCAACATTTTAAGACAGCTTTGCAAGCTTTGATGGAGTATTTCTGTTTCTGCATTAACAGCAAATTCCTTGGATACTCCTTACACTTGATATAACATTCTTCTCTCCCTGTTAAGATTACTGAACTATTACAATAAGTTATCAGAGCTCCAATCCAAAGAATAAAATTCAGAAAATACAAATTTCTGATCAGGATCCCAAGAAGTCATTTTTACATCCAAGATTTAAAAATTCAGTCTCATTAACACAATTTGCTTGGACCTCACTTGATATAGCAGTTGGAAATAAGAGTCCCAGCTAGTGATCAAAATAATTCTTATTCTTCCTTATACTATCACCTCACTGAACTGTATTTTCAGTAAACTACTTAAGCAAAAAAAACAATCTGAACTTTGAAAGCTGCCTGTGGGCTCAATTATGACAATCTCGGGTGCTCCTGTTCAATAAGAAGTATTCCATACAAGAGAAGACTAAGTTAAATAAATACATTCTTTCAAGAAAAAATGGTATTGTTAAACACAAAAGACACCCAACAACTCTAAACTGCAGAATATTGTGGAAACTTAAACCATTAACCACTAAAAGGGAGTTGGTAAGACTTGGTCTAGCCCTACAAACTACCAAACACATCTCTACCTCTTGTAATGCAAACTCAAAGCCAATTTGCCTAAAGAGTGAGCAGTACTTGATTCCTATCATTCTACCAGCACAGAAAATGGAATTTAAAGGGTAAAAGACCTGTCTCATTAAACAGACAGGTCTTTCCACCACAACAGAACAATCCTGACAGCATGAACACCATAGAAATTACCAAGTGAAGAAAACCGTTCCTTACTGCTCATCCAATTAAATGTGTAAAAGAACTATTTTTGCTAGTAATTAAATAACCTTCAATCCACAGTTACAATGACAATTCTATATCCCTATTTGCCAAGAAATTCAACCAGAAATAATAAAAAAATTGTATTACAGTATTAGAAAACAGAAAAATTCACAGCAAATGGCCTTTGCATGCAGGAACAAAATAGAGAACAAAATGTATGACTAAAGCAGAAAAAATACAAAGATGCTTATTTACATAAGCATTACAATCAGTTTCATTTGGACATAACATGAAAAGAAATATTCTGCCCAAATTATGATGCACAGTAGATAAGAACTGTTCACTGAAAAATATTACTTGTGAGTCCTGCAGTTTAGAAGCTGTGTTAACTGGCTTCTATGCAAGACAAGATTATTTCACACATGGGGTATCACAGAAGAGTTTGAGAATCAGTATCTTGAACTCAGCTTCACTTGAACAAGTTTAAGATTATTCTTTCCTAATAATTTTCCCCTGGACAGCTGAACCTTGAATAACAGGCAATACTGTTGTTCTAATTTTTGTGGTGTAATGTCAGTCTCTTAAACGGGGTATTTTTGTAGTTATTGTACAGAAGTTTTTTCAAACAGTTTGGAGATCTTGCTTATACTATATGTTCTGTGCCCCAGAAAACTGAAGCATTCATACCTCCCATTTTCATTCTCCTTGGGAAAAAATGATTGTCACTATTATCTGAAATTCAGATTTGCGTGGAGTAGCGGTATTTTAAGATTGACACCCATATGTATAACTTATTAGAAGTAAGGGTCAAGACTATCTCCCATAAAGCAAGTTACAGCATAGCTGTTTTTCTGAATTCTCAAACAAATTGTATCTGTAGTCAGTTTCAGCTGCATAACATTTTGATGCTCACTGTAGCTGTAAAATACCTTAAGATATTGCTGCAGCTTCTTTGCACTATCTGCAATATTGGCATGCACAGCATGCATCAGGTATGCTTTAAACTTATCTTGGCCACACTTAGTCTTTATTGCACTTTTGTTGAGTCAAAAGGATTCAAATGTTTGTGCCTGAAGCTTTTCAAAAGGCCCCAAGCTTCATTACAGAAAAACTGCCTAACTTTTAGAAAGCTTCAAATGGTGGGTTTGGTTTTTTTTTGTCTGTTTTACTCCGCCTACTTAGGAGTAAGTTTAAAGCTCTCAGAATACCCACAGGAAACTCGCTGTACAGCTTACACATACTTTTGACCTTTTACAACTGAAGCTGCAGTGTCAGAAGCAGTTTCAAGAAGAATTGAGAAAAGAGTTATTAAAAATAAATTATAAGTTTTAGAATTGAGGAGATTTGTGGTAGAAAATTTACTCCTTTTTCCATCCATAGGAGCATACAGCAAGTAGTGAATGATGCAGCAAGCATTTGCAGATTTCTCCTTTAAGTTGTAAACTCCTTACAGCAAGGACAGCATTTGTTACACTTATCACTTACATTACTTATCCCTTATATTATAAAGTCAAACAGTGTTCAAGAGCAAATGTAAGCTTTTATTAACTATTTGTTTCCAAACACCAATAAGTGGCTTGGAGACTATCCTATCTAGCAACAACGGGTGAGGTACACCACCTCATCACTGAGCAATTCTTTGTTAGATGAGCCATCAGTAAGAACCACCCAGAAAGCTTCACACTATCAGTTTGGAGAATCTTTTAGATTCTCTTATTCCATTTTAGAGAATTTGTTAAATAACAGCAATTAATTGGAGAGGGTATCTGGCCTCTCAAATGGTCTTTTATAGATTGAACTATTTTATACTGCTATAAACACCACAATACTGGAATAATGATTAAACAAGTCTTAATGAAGTGTAGAGTATGTTTCGTCCCTAAGCCTTGGTCATGTTCCTTTATAGACAGCTTTTTAAAAAAAAGTAAGTTTTGTTTGCAACATGTAAAAATGTGTAATTACGTATTTCCCGTGGAAGGAAGACCAATCCAAGACATAAATCAAGTTGCAGAGTTCTAGCCCAAGCTACTGATACGACTTTGAGGAGTGGGAGGAAAAAGACACTAAACAACATACATACTTTTGGATAATCCAGTTCAAAGAAGGTTTCCAAGTTGTTGATCAGGTTAGGATCCACACCTTTTAACGGCTTTAGAAGTGAAACACCTGGAAGCTTGCTATATGGCTGTTTGTCTGTGGCTTTCTTATTGAGGTGGAGACGTCTGTAAGGAGAAATAACATATACCACCACATAAAGAAAATATGCTAGATAATTCCATTCAAAACACAGTCAGAACTAAGAAAGATTGGGAGTTAAAGTTGATACAAAAAATTAGTTTTGGTTGTAGAAACAACTATTTTCATATCTGACAGCCGATGTGTCAGAGACAACGCCTAAAACCCTTAGCATTGTATGTAGGTTATATTCAACCTTACTCAACTTATTAGACATTTCAGATTAATGCATTTTGCACAATACGAGTATCACATTTTTCAAACTACACAGGAGACAAGATTTTTCTGCCTTCCCCCATAGCATTAAAACACAGTGTTATAATAGGATAATAAAAAAAAAATAATTCACTGTAAACAAGGCAAAAAAAAGAGAAGGGTCAAGTGCTTTTTCCTGCATTAAGTTACACAAAACTTAAAGCAAACTGAAAGCACCCTACTGATCATTTGTTAAACACCTGCAAGAAAAGGATAAGGATCAATCAACTGGTTCATAAAAATCCTAGAAACTGGACACCAGGCTGGATTAGAAGCACAGATAAACCTAGAACACAATTCCTAACAGTCACTAGTATTTCAGTATTAAATATACGAAGTAAGTTGACAATCGTGTCACACTTCACCAACATGAATATTTAATTCTACACTCCTGTGTGAATGAATGCAAAATTAAATTCTGAAACTTAAAATTTGCAAGTTATTGTATATACTGCATACATGCATGTTCTCTAACATGCACAGTAGTTGGATTGAAAGAATATTTTATTGCTGCATGTACCTAATGGTATCAATTCTTAACTTAAAAACTTTCATGCTTTAAAATTCACAAGATGCTGCCTCAAAAAACCCAAAAGTCGGAATAGGGTTGTTTCATCCTAGTTAAACAGTTAAAAAAGAAGTTAAGTTCCTAGGAAGCATGCTCCTGAAGAATGTGCCTCACAAAGTGAAGTTACTGAACTATGAAGGAGCTCCACTAAGAAGAGATTCCAATAGTCCCCTAGAGTTATTTTCTCCTGAGATGGGACAGCGACATCTTTACATGAGTAACCTCATTGCCCGCCCCTCCCCAGCATGCTCCTTTCAGGCAGGTTTGCAGCTGGACACCATTACAGAGAATAAACAATGGGCTCACTAAAAAGACAGAAGGACAAAGCAGATGACATCCTTGTACTGTTATTGAGACCAAACCTGGGCACTGCAGAGGTAAACTGAAATAGTCTTGCTGAGCAGCCAAGGTGCAATCAGATGAGTGTAAGAAAAGCAATCATGTTCAGATAGCTACCACAGGCAGAAGAAGCCTTCCTTACCAATGTTCACTAACATAAAAACAAACAAGGGCTTTAGTGCCCTTAAGAAGGGAGAGTCTCAAGAACGCGACTTTGACCAGGAGGGCCAAAAAGTAGATAATTCAGGGAGGGGAGAGGGAGGCAGGGATACTCCCCTTAAAATAAACTGTTTGCTTTGCACATAGATTTATGCAGAGGCAAAAGCCTGATGAAGAGGAAATAAGAGAAGGAAGCGTCAGAGTAAATGGAAAAAGGTGAGAAAGGATAAAGACAGACTTGAAGCAGGCCCGTGATAAAGAATAAGCATGAAGTGATAAAACTGCAGAATCTTGCAAGGCATCATATTACAAACCATGCTGGCACACAGGATTATGCAAGTAACTGAATTACATAAGGAAAAGCCTACATGTGGGGTAAGAGAGGGAAACCTTTGAAAACATGCAAATGAGGATGCAGCACTGTCAGGATCTACTCGGCTATGAAACACCATACACTGAGACTTTTGACAAGAGTATGGCTCAGTATGGTAAGACTGCCTCTAATAAGCCATCTTAAAAATAAGACTCTGGTTCATGTTCTATTCATAACACTGCACAAAAGTGGCAGCCTACCATCGTGAAAGCAGTGTAGTATTGTGACACTAAGGTAAAGCAATTTCCATGCCAGTAATTGCAATGTTCTGCTAGACTCTATGGAGCAAGAGGCAAATTAACAGTAAACCAGATCAGTTTAACTTTTTAATTCTTTTTCAGAATATGCCACTTCATAAACAGTCCTTCTCAGTGTAAAATGAAAACCTACTATCACGAGAGCAACTGACCAACCACTATAAAAAACAAGTTACAATATTCAAATTAAGGCTAATATTTAGTCTTATTTTGACTTCTATGCTAAATTTAAACACTAACATTGTTGATGCAGGCATGTTCTAAATGGTGTATTACAGAATGTGCACCAAAGCCTCCAAAGTAGAAGTAAGATTAAACAGTAAATTGGTATTTTTGAGCACTAACTTGTGCTCACAGTGGTTCCGTTCTGTCAGACAGGTGATGTGATCACAGTGGTCTTCATTACCACAGAGCAAGTATTACACGTGGAGTTCAAAACAATAAAGGAAAGCAATCCTTCCACAAAGTTTGCATCACGTATAGAATATTATATATTATTTTTGCATTGAAATTAGCCCAAAACACTAACTATACAGATGTATTTACATAATGCATTTTTATACTTCTGCCTAATGCAGTAAGCTACAGAAAAACACTACACCAAGGAATGTGTAAGAACTCTGAGCATTATTTACAGGCACTTTCAGATCCTGTGTGTGAAAGACCAGGAGCCAGGTTATCCATAAGCACTTTTCCACATACATATATTAAATGGGTCAGCCTGCAATTCCTAGGTAGTAAAACCATGAAATTCTGTCTAAGCAGTTTGGTGCTGGTGTACATAGGTGGGGAAAAAAAAAGCAGCAGGATGCATAATGGTGTCAGGACCTATAGTTCAACTATCCTGTATCGTAAGAGGCATCTACAAAATCTTCTCAAACTTATTACTGTGTTAAGGAACTAATTAACCCACAGAAGCAACTGTAATCTAGATTTTTTTCTCTCAGCAGAAGGAAAAAGTATTTTCAAAGACAAAATCCAGACGACTGAGTTACCACTGCCCAGTATGCAACACAAATTCTTGCTAACCTGTATTATATTAAGCAACAAAACTTCTCATTTTGTAAAGGCCAAGACAACACTTCCCCCACCTCATTAAGGACAGGAGAATATTCTAGAAAAAAACAAAAACCTTGCTCCAGTAGACAGCCTGCTGAGTCTCTCAACTGAGGTAGTAACATAAACCTTTTAAAAGCAGCTGAAAAAAATTCACTCATTTCAACCTTCCCTCAGCAGCTACTTTACTTAGAAATTATCCTATTAGGGGGAGGTAAGTAATTCTTGGTCAGAAATTTGTAACAGATACTTAATATTGCAAGACAGCACTAACAAGATGCAGGAAGCACTGAAGACATCCTTTGAAGGCCACGGTTCCACAGGCCATCGAGATAAGCTAGCAGATCATTACTTCTCAAAGGGGCTGTTTTCCTGCTTCTGCATTTACACACTCGTCCCTTCCCCAGTTTGTTTTCATGTTAGTGAGCCAAACCATCTCACACAGGTGTTTGTCGAGTGTTGGTCTGCTATGGAGTAACAGGCAGGAGAAATAAAATGTAAGATTATTCTGCTTCTTTTGGCAACAGAAAGGTAAAAAGGATGAGCTCCCTGTATCTTCATTACTTTTTATACATGTCTGGTGTTAAAACATTTCCAAAAGTAGGTACCTTGTATGCACAGAAGAAAAATGAAATTTGCTACAGATACACCACACTGGTCAGTGCATTAAACACAACTGAAAGAAAGACAGGAGGAGTTCGAAAAATATTAGAGACAACCCCTAAATTAATGGAAGGACTAACAGCATCCTTAATTCAAAGACTAATATTAGCCCATTTAAAATCCTACCACATTAATGTAATGGAATAGACAATTCCTCGTAAGGCATAGAAAACTACCAAATAAGCTTCAGCATCTCACAGCAGTAACTTTTTATAGTCATCTGACTGCTTTGCAATTAAGTAACCAAGAACACTTTATAGACATTGTACTTTCATATATAACAATAATATTTGCATAATTACATATCCATAGATGCAGTACAATTTTATATGTATATATCAGTTACAAAATCAAGACAGCATTTGGCATGGGAGTTAGAGCGCAAGTTTTAGGCTGCCTGTGAAGGCAGGAGGGAAGGGGTCTGCAGAAGCAGCTCTGATCCACCCTACCAGGAAGCGAAATGAGACACTTGGGTGTGGAGGCAGGCAGAAGCACAAGAGGACTCACTGCAATGACACAATTAAGCCTGAATAACAAATAACATGCTAGTATCATGAAGTTCTTTTTCATGCTGCTCTACCCAGATTTAAGCACACAAGCATATTACTGTGCATTAAGAGGCCTGCTACACTATCACTCCTTTTTAGGGACTTTCTAGACTTCAGACATATTTGAAAACTGCAAACCAGATCAAACAAAAAACAGTATCACCTGTGGCCCCAGGCCTCCTAACAAATGGACAGAATTATTCTTAAAGCAAAAACTAAACACCTTGATCTTGTTTTTAACTTTCCCTCCCTCAGAGTAGGGCCTTATAACATAGCTGAATCAGTTTACCTATAGGCTACTGCTCAGAGGCACTCCCTCTTTTTCTGGGATGTGCTGTGCTTCCCAGTGGTACTGACACTTGTCTGATCCCACAATGACCTAGCTGAGATACTTAAACCACCTCGTAACTACTACCTCATTTGTAACGTTAGCATTTTGTCAGTTTAACTTAGCAAGGATGCAGTTTGAAAGCATGTGGCAAGATGATCATGCAGCTTCACTAGCAAAAAAGATCCCCCAGTGTTCCCTCTCCTCCGTGCTGCCATCAACACCAGCCAAACAAGACACTGTGCCAGTACTGATACCTGTACAACCTTGCTTCAACTCACTCAACAGAAAGTTAAATCTGGCTTTTTTCCTGCCACTTCAGGTTGTCTTCTGACAAACTAGAGTCAAGGTGCCTTAGGGAAGGCTGCAAGAAGCTCCAGAGCATGTTAAGAAGGTGGCTGTGAATGCATGGCCAAGATCATGGGAGAAGAGGAGGAATAGGGTCTCCCTCCTCCTCAGGCTTCTGTGGGCTTCCAGAAGAGCTGAGCTGCCCATGGATGAGCAGCATA